CCATGGCCCAAGGCCAGAGGGTGTCCCAGGGCTGCTGACAGCACCGAGGAGAGGAGGTGTGCACTCTGGCCTCGCTGACCTCGGCCTGGTGCCTGGCCCAACCACTCCGCTCTGCTGCAGCCGTGGGGGCCAGGGCCATGTTGGCCAGGGGAAGGAAGAAGCCAGTTCCCAGGCCAGGAACAGGAAGGCAGGGGGAGTGTGGCAGGGGCCAGGATGACAGTGCTTCCTGCTGTGGGAAGGGAAGGACAGCGGAGACAGACAACAGCCGGCAGGAAGGATGCGCCTTCTTCAGGGCTGCAGGTGGGGGCTGGGCAGTCATGGAGTTTCTGGACATGGCAGCCCTCCGGCCCGAAGCTGCTCTGGCTACTGAGCAGTCTGGGTTCACATGGTCACTGGGGAGCCAGTCCTTTACAACTGGAAGTATCTTTCCCAAAAGAACAACAGGGCCTGACACAGTTCCAACCAAAAGGAAGACCTCAGAAGTCCATTTAGCCATCCATGCATCCATCCATCCATCCGTCTGTTCATCTGTCTGTCTGTCCATCCATCCAACTCATCTCTCCATCCTTCCTCCATCCATCCATTATCCGTCATCCCATGCATCCATCCAGACTTTAGCCATCCATCCATTTATTCATTCAACAAGTATTTACCGAGTCTTTCCTCTGTGCCAAGTGCTGTGCTAAGCGTACAATGGTGTTAAAAAAAAAAAAAAACTATCTTGGTCCTTACCCCACAGAAACTCACTGCCTAGCGAAGGACATGGACAGACATTACTTACATAAACAAGCAAACACATAAATCGTTACAGTTGCCCCCAGAAGGATGGAGCAAGCCACCAGGAGGGGGAGATCGAGCTGTTCCACAGGGGTGGGAAGTCACGTCTGGGCCGAGGCCCGAGGGTGAAAGACGCCAGCCATGAGGCCACGGCAGCTGCAGCATGTGGACAGGAGGCTAGGCTGGGCCCTGAGGGTGTGGAGAGGTGGGCAGGGCCAGGCCTGGGTCAGGGGCTGGGCTGTCCTGGAAGTGCAGTGGGAAGTCACTGATGGGACTTGAGCACAAAACATCGCTAAGGGGCTAAGGGACGCAGGAGGGCAGGAGCAGGCCCAGGAGGCCACTCTGGGGAGGTGCAGCTGTGCCAGCCCCACCAGGAGAGCAGGGGCTGCGCTGAGATGTGTCCAACCCGAAAGGCTTTGGTCGTGGGCGGATGGGGTGGGGTGGGGGGAGCTGTGGGGTTAGGAGCTATCAAGGGACGGGCTTTTGATGGGGCCGGGAGGGGAGTATGAGTCCGGAGTTTAGCATCAGAAATGCAAAACTCGGGTGTCTGTGGGGTGCCCGAGTCAGTGGGCAGCAGGATACTTAAGGCTGGAGTCGAGAGCAGGGGTGTGGGCTGGAGGCAGACTCAGGGAGTGCGTGAACACTTCGGAGACAGGGCGGTGGAGAAGAGAGAGGAGCACTGGGTGCTGGGGGGTCACGGATGCACCCTTCCCTAAGCCCCTGGGTCTGAGGGGCTGGGGACTGCACCTCATGGGTGGGTGGGGACTCAGGGAAGGGGCAGGCACAGAGCAAGGGCCAGGAAGTAGGGAGGAAGAGGGGCAGTGGCTGGGAGTGTGGGAGATGACCCCCTAGGAAAAAACTAGTGATCAGAAGAGAAAGGGATCACCTTCAGAGCCAGGTCAGGGCAGGGCCCCCGGCATGAGGGAGGGCCTGGTTCTGGGAACAGGAATGTCAGAGGCTGGGTGTGGGGTCAGATGTAGGGAGATGAGGTGTCCACATCTGATGGTTTCGCTCTGTCCATGCTGAGTGAGGGAGGAGGGTGCACCCTGAGCCACGTCTGCAAACAGGGAAACGGGGCAGCAGCCCATGCAGGGGGCTTTGTGCTGCGGTGTTGGGTGGGTGGTGTCATGGGGTCAGATGCAGGGCCAGAGGCCAGGGAACAAGCGGAGTGACAGGCCATGGTCCTTCTGCACCAGGACGGGCAGCAGCAAGAGGGAGCAGTGGGGGCTTGGGGTGGGGCTGCGGGATGGAGCCACTGTGGGCCAAGAACACCGAGCAAGGGACACACAGGAGATGGGCATCAGGTCCAGGGCGCACCCACGGAAGGGAGTGGCTGACAAGAGAGGAGGACAGGACCACCAAGGCCAGGATGCTGGCAAGTCATCGTGGGGATGCTGAAGTCATGGGGAGTGGCGGGAGGTGGGGTGGGGAGGGGATGGCGGCCAAGAGCTAGGTCTGCGCAGAATGACGGGAAGTGACCAGGATAGCTGCTGGTGACAGCTTTAGTGGGCAGAGGGCAGTGCCTCAGAGGGCTGCTGTGGGGGTGTGGGTGGGAAGCAGGAGGGTGCAGGTGGATGGCAGTAACCACCCTGGGGCACTTCTTGGTGTCCTGAGAAAGCTGGGCTTCAGGTTAGACAGGAGGGGACATCAGAGAAGCAGGGAGGTCTGCAGCAAAGTTTGCTGACCACAGGGCACAGGGGAGGCTGGTGAAGGCAGGGGGCACTGGAGTAAGTCAGGACACCCCATGACGAAGGAGAGCTTGCCCAGATGGGCACAGAGGGCTGGCAAGCATGATGGGCAGCGCTGCGTAGCGCAGGGACTCCTCCTTTGATGGTGAGGGGCCCCCAGGGAGGAAGCTCCCAGAGGCTGGCTCCACTCCCCCGGCCACCCGGCCACAGTTCAGTCTGACAGGTGTTCTAGTGGGGGCCCAAGGACAACCAGACGGATGCTGCCCGAGTGATGACGAGGACGTGTGAACTAGACCCCGAAGAGGGCAGTCCGTGGGGGGAGGAGGAAGGAAGGAGGGACGTCCCAGGCAAAAGGATGCACGAGGCAAAGCGTTCAGGATGGGGAAAAGAACCGCACTGTGGGAGGGTGGGGAGAGGCCCCGGGCCTCTCAGGACATGAAGCCGGAGGCCTGGCCTGTCCCGCTGTATCTTGGGGGCAAAAGGAGCAACCGAAGGAAGCCAGGCTGGCAGTGTCCATCGCCCTGGAGCCAGCAAGTATGCCCAGATGTGTACCTCCAAGACAGGGAGCCACGGCCTCCCAGGCCCAGCTCGACACCCAGACCTTGCCGTGGGGATGCGCTTTTCCCAGTGAGGGCGCCCACGGGCCTGGCCTCTCTCCTGACCGCTCGCTGGGCCATCGGACAGCACGGCCCTTTCATCCCCACAGGTCCAGCCCACCTGCCACCTCCCCCTCTTCTGCAGGACAGACCACCGTCCACTCGGGCACCCACATACTTTTCAGCTGTCTCTCTGCCTGGCGTGGCCTCAGGCACTTTCAGTGCCCTGAAAAGATCCACTTCTCCTTTGAAGCTCAGCTCAAAGGTGCCCTCTTGGGTCCCCTCCCAGCCCCTCCTGGCCCCTCCCTCCCTCATGAGAGGAGGGAGCCCCAGAGGCGTAAGGTAGGGGCTACAAATGCCCAGACCCTGCTGCTGCGCCCACATCCACCAGGGGCCCCAGGGCAGGACGGGCCCCAGGGCAGGACGGGCCCCAGGGCAGGGCGGGCCCCAGGCCAGGCCAGCCAGCCACTGGAACCAAGCAAAACAAAGACTGCAGGAGACACAGCAGCTGACCAGGCAAGCCACGGAGTCTCAGGACAGCTGGAGGGCCTCAGTTTCCCTGTCCGTGCAGTGAGTCTAGATGCTCAGTAAGGGCCTTCCAGCTCTGGCCCACGGTGCAGGGTGCCTGGAGGGGTTTGGCCCAGAGGGAGGGAGACGGGTAGCGGTGGGCAGCAGACACTGACTGGTGGCCATGTTGCCCGAATTATGCCACATGAGATCTTGATGTGCAGAGTGTGCTGTTCTGGTGCCGCCACCTGGGGTGGCTCAGGACCCCCCCAGCTATCGTGGGGTTCCCAGGGTTCCACCCAACTCATAAGCTGCAAGATGGGACCCCGGGGCCTCAAGGAGCTGGACTGGGGAGGACAGAAGAGCCAGACTTCTGCCCAAACTGCTCAAGCCTGTGGGCCTGGAAGGGGCTGGGGTAGGATAGTGGGCTGTGCCCCCCAGGAGGACAAGGACTTGGGGGGAGGGACAGGACGCAGCCCTGGGCTTCTGGCCACACAGCCCTCCCTTCCTGTTGTCTCAGGATGGTCCTGGCAGGATGCATCTGCCAGAGTTCCAGGCCCAGACCTCCCCCGGGGCCTGCTCCCACCCCCACCAGGATCCCACCCCCCACACATGCTGGCATATCAGAGAGGCACAAACAGGCATGCTTGCACACACATGTAAGCACATACAAAGTCACACACAAATACACACAGATTCACAGATGCAGGCCCACAGATACAGACAGATGCACACACAGAGACCCACACCTATCAACACGCACACATATGCACACAGCCACCCCATACCCCTGGGGGGAGCGTGGTGGGCTGGAGGTGCAGGGCAGGAGCCCAGCCCCAGTCAGCCTACAGCCATGGGGTGAGCGTAGCTTTCTGCCCAGGTGAGGCAGGTCTACTTGTGTGTCAGAGGGGGAGCCCCGTGGGAAGCCCCGGGGGGTTGGTGGGAGGCCCGGGCAGGGAGACCCCAGAGGAGGCAGGGCAGCCAGGGGCCCAGTGTGGGCGGAAGCTGCAGCGGAGCCAGAGAACACCTGTGAGGTGGACACCATGGTGCCTGGGGAGGGTGAAGTCATGGCAGGGCAGGCAGGGGGCCTGGGAGTGTGTGGGGCGGGTCTTAAGTCCAGGAGGGAGGGGCCTGCCGTCGCCCCTTCTCCTTCATGCCAGCAGCTCAGCTCACTAGGGCCAGAGGTTGGGGTTCAGTCCAGCTGCAGTCAGGGCTCCCTTGCAGGGGCAGGCAGGGGTCAGCCTGTGGAGGTTCTGGCTGTCTTGGGGCCTGGGGGCTGGGACTGCCCTGGGGCCTATGGTTAGGCCAAGCCCTGCTGTGCCTCTGAGAGCCTGAGCTGGCCCCCACCCAGAGCAGGGTCTGCCCCGTGGGCAGAGAAGGCGAAGGCCTGCCACCGTCACGTGGACTCACCACCCGGTGCCACGCTGACTTCTGTCCATCCCCAGGTCTGGTGAGCGGCTACTCTATGACACCCCCGACCCTGAACATCACAGAGGAGGTGCACGTCATCGACACCAGCGACAGCTTATCCATCTCCTGCAGGTACTGGGTTCCTCCTGCTGAACAGCAGGGAGGCGGCAGAAGCCCGAGGCCAGAGGTGGTGGCTGAGGGCCCAGAAGGCAGCCCTCCCGGGGCAGAGTGGCCTCGAGGCTGTGCCAGGCTCTCCCTCCCATGACGTGGATGCCTGGAAGCCCTTCCCCAGCCTCACCCACACTCACCCCAGCCGCCCTTCACTGGCCCCAGGCCCGCACACTGGGGCCCTGGAGATGGTATCTTCCCTGTGGCCCCAGCTGTGAATCAAGGCCTGGGCTTCTCCTCAGGCCAGCCTGCCACATACAGCCCCGGGAGACAGGTAGAGGCCTGGGGGCCCAGGGAGTGCCCTGCCCCGGGCAGTTCCGTCCTCCAGGTGAGACCAGCATGGACGAGGCATGGCCTTTGAGGGAGGCGCCTCAGGGATGAGCCCCTGGGCTGCAGCTGGGGACCCTCCTGACCTCTCCCGTCCTCTGCCAGGGGGCAGCACCCCCTCGAGTGGGCCTGGCCAGGGGCTCAGGAGGCGCCGGCCACAGAGGACAAGGACGGGGAGGACACGGGGTTGGTGAGAGACTGCGAGGGCACGGACGCCAGGCCCTACTGCAAGGTGCTGCTGCTGCACGACACGCACGCCAACAACACGGGCAGCTACCGCTGCTACTACAAGTACATCAAGGCCCGCATCGAGGGCACCACGGCCGCCAGCACCTACGTGTTTGTGAGAGGTGAGGCCACCAGGGCGAGGGAGGCAGGCTGGGCTCGCGCAGGGTCCTGGGGGAGGGCCAGTGCCTGACTCCCAGTCCCAGCCTACCGACCCCAGGAGGAGAGAAGGGGCACCTGCCCAAGGGGCAGCCAGCAGGCAGGAACAGCACCACCCAGCCCCAAAGGGCCTCCTGCGGCTGCGCCCACCTCCACCGTCCCCTGCCCCACGCCTGCTCCCTCTCCACAGACTTCAAGCAGCCGTTCATCAACAAGCCCGATACACTCCTGGTCAACAGGAAGGACTCCGTGTGGGTGCCCTGCCGGGTGTCCATCCCTGGCCTCAACGTCACGCTGCGCTCGGTACAGCCCCACCCCCACCCTGGGATCTGGCCCTCCTGTCCCAGCCTGGGAGAGGTGGCCGCAGTCTGGACAGGAGGAAGCGGGCAGCCAGGTGCTGACAGTGACCACATCCCTCCAGCAAAGCTCAGTGCTGTGGCCAGACGGGCAGGAGGTGGTGTGGGATGACCGGCGGGGCATGCGGGTGGCTACACCATTGCTGCGAGACGCCCTGTACCTGCAGTGTGAGACCACCTGGGGCAGCCAGGACTTCCTTTCCAACCCCTTCCTCGTGCACATCACAGGTAGGAGCTGCCCCTCACCCAGTGATTGCTCCTGGTGCCCTGGGAGGAGGACAGGGACCCACTCCAATTCCCAGTAACAGTGCTGTCACCGCCACGCTGGTGTCCGGCGCCTACCCCTGTGCTCTGTGTGCATTGGGTGTCCATGTGTGCAGTGTCCTGGGAGGGTGTGGGAGTCACTGTGCGTGTGTCACCAGGCAACGAGCTCTATGACATCCAGCTGTTCCCCAAGAAGTCGCTGGAGCTGCTGGTCGGGGAGAAGCTGGTCCTGAATTGCACCGTGTGGGCTGAGTTCAACTCAGGCGTCACCTTTGACTGGGACTATCCAGGGAAGCAGGTGAGGTCAACAGCCCTGCCGGAGAGCCTTCCTCCTGCCCATGCCTTCCTGTCCCCAGGAGCCCCCATCAATGACCGTGGCCTCGGTGTGGAGGGCGTGCAGACCCAGGGTCCCTAGTCTGATGGGGAAGTTTTCCACCCCAAGGAAAACTCAGAGTCTGGGTCCGAGGCTTCTGGAGCCACTGCTGGCTGGGCTGGGGCATGTGCCTTGGGGGGTAGCTCTGCGGAGCCCACCCACTGACCTTGGGCTCCCCTGGTGCGGCAGGCAGAGCGGGGGAAGTGGGTGCCCGAGCGGCGCTCCCAGCAGACGCACACAGAGCTGTCCAGCATCCTGACCATACTGAATGTCAGCCAGCACGACCTGGGCCCGTACGTGTGTGAGGCCAACAATGGCATGCAGCGATTCCGGGAGAGCACCGAGGTCATTGTGCACGGTACGGCCTGCGGCTGGGGCATCGTGCCCAGCACGGGCTGAGGGGGGCGGTGGTCGGGCATCATCAAGCCTGAGGAACAAGGGTCCTCGTGCAGCGTGGGCCTGGCCCAGAGGTCCTGTTGCTCCTGGGTGTGGGGAGTCCGGCCAGAGGGAAAAAGGGGGCGTGAGCACAGGAACTACCCAGCTCCCAGATGGCACAGTGAGCCCCCGTCTGCAGACAGTTGGCTGCCGGGGCCTCGGGGTCGTGGCTGGGAATCCCTGTCAGTGACGGATCAGCCCTGGATTTACGAGGGTGCCTCTCGTCCCGCAGAAAAGCCCTTTATCAGCGTTGAGTGGCTCAAGGGACCAGTCATGGAGGCCACGGCAGGAGAGGAGCTGGTGAAGCTGCCCGTGAAGCTGGCAGCTTACCCGCCGCCAGAGTTCCAATGGTAACAGCCCAGGCTCCCTCCCCTCCCTACCCTGCCAGGCCACACGGGAGGACAGACCAAGGGGTGAGAAGGGCAGCATCCTCCCCCTCAGGCCTGTACCCTGACACCCACGTGGGGACCTGGCCCTCCCTGAGTCCTGTACCCTGACACCCAGGGTGGGGGGACCCTCTCCAAGGAGAGCCCGCAAGGAACATGCACATAATACGATACTGCAGCCAGAAGGAAGGTTGACCCAGGTTGCTGCAACCTGTGACAGGTTTAAAGTTGAACCTGTTATGTGTGGGTGTGGTGGCATGGTGTGGGGCTTTCTCCAACTGTTCCTGCAGCCCCTCAGCATCTCTGAGGCCCTGACAGCTAGACCCACCTGCACTGCAAACTCCAGGGCCTGTCCCGCAGCAATGGCTGCAGTTTCCCCAGGCCTCCTTCCAGCAAGACTGCCTCTCCCAGGACTGTCCTATCCAGAAATGTGGAGATGCCACCAGGGGGTTGACAAATTGTTATGGAGCCAGCCCTGGGCTGGCCCTGGCTGCATGACAGTGAGCGCAAGAGCTTCCAGGAGGCCTGCAGGCCGCTGGGGCCCAGGCTCCCGGTCTGCCAGCTGAGAAGATGAGGCTCCGCTGTGGGTGTGCCGAGGCCCAGGGTTCTGCCCTCACCCGTGCTCCTGCAGGCTTTCGAAGGTCCAGCACCTCCCCCTCCGCCGTGCACCCTCAGGCCATCTGAGCCGTCCACACAGCCCGGCCATGGCAGGTCACCCTCTAGTCTGAGCCCCAGTTGCACCGACAAGGAAGCAGAGCCCGGGATCGGGGAGGACGTTCCTGCCTGAGCCCCAGCCTCCCGGGAGGTGTCTCCACTCTGTCCTACCCCAGCTAGCCCGAGGAGCCTCACCCTTCCAGCCTGGGCACCTGCCTCCTGGCAGGGCTGCTTTTTCTGGTGCTGAGCAAGAGGAGGTGCAGGTGCCCACAGCTGGGACCCCTGCGCCAGCCCAAGGCTGGGAGCAGGCTGCTCCTGGGAGGGCCCAGGGTACTGGGCCCTGGGCCTGGTGTGACCCTCCCTCTGAGGGCACAGTTTTGGAGTCCACCTGGGGCACCTGTTGCAGTACCTTGGGGCAGGGTCCTAAGGGCACTCGGGCAGGCTGGCGCTTCACTCACAGGTGGGCTCCTAGAGGACTGCAGCTGCTCTGCGCAGGTGGCCGGCTCTGCTGCGCCCAGGGTCCAGCCCAATCCTTAGGCAGCTGGCTGCCTCTCAGCACAGCTTTCCACTGGAACATTCCCACCACATCCAGCCCTTCTCTTCTCACTTGGCCAACACCTGCCTCCAGGAAGTGCCCATCTGAGTCACCCGCCCCAGGATGCTTGTGGTCACCACAGTCCCATCGGCGCCACCCTTTATGTGGCTCATTGTGTGACGGCTGTGAGTCAGCGAGTGGATGGAGGGTCTAGAGCAGTGGTCCCCAACCTTTTTGGCACCAGGGACGGTTTCATGGAAGACAGTTTTTCCACGGGGTGGGGGGTGTGAGAGAGGAAGGCGGTGATACGAGCAAGAGCAGCCGCTGTAAATAGAGATGACGCTCCGCTTGCTTGCCGGCCGCTCCTGTCCTGCACCGCCCCACCTTCCTGAGTTTCATGGAACACGGCGGGGGTGCGCAGCACAGCGCAGCTCTGCAGCCGGGTCCCTAACAGGCCACGGGCCAGTACCGGTCCGCAGCTCGGGGGTTGGGGAACGCAGGCCTAGAGAACACGCAGGCAGGCTGGGCAGGTGCCCAGCATGGTGCTGACACAACATGCGGTTAGACCTGGAGACCCCAGCAAGGTGCATTTCATTTCCCCACTTTTCAGACGAGGACACTGAGGCTTGGGGTGGTGAAGGGGTTTGCCTAAGGTCACAGATCCAGCACGTGGCAGGCTCAGGTTCCAGCCTTTGCACCAGCGCCGGGCACTCAACATGGCCTTGGCTGTGCCCCAGCCTGCCTTGCCTGCAACTCCGGGCCAGTCCCATCCTTTCTAGATCTTGGCTGTGGTGTCACAGTTGAGAGCAGGCCCCTGCGGCTCCCACACTGTCGGTCTTTGCCTGAGGGACAAGTCTCTCCCAGGCCACACTACAGCGTCCCTGGCTTAGCACACCCAGCACTGGGAGGGAGGCACCTGCCCGAGAGAGGGTGGTCCCCAAACAGGGTCCAGAGCCCAGGTCACAGAGGCAGCTGCCCTTTGGGGCGTGGGACATCCATGGGATGTGGGACTCACATGCACAGAAACATCCATGGAGCACCTGCCCCCGCAGGGCACAGCTCAGTGGGGGAGATGGACAGTCAGCAGACACGGGTGTGAAACCCACCGTGCTGATGGGGGCAGGGCAGGTGGGGCTGGGTCACTAGAAGGACGGCAGGGAGGCTGCATATACCCCAACCCAAATGAAGGTGGGAGGCAGCGGTGAAGATTCCCAGCCACAGGAATGAGTGTCCCAGCAAGGGGACAGTGCGGCCACCGTGTGGAGAGCTCAAGGAAGGGCAGAGGCAGAGAGCTCTGCGCGCACTGCACCCTCACTCCTCCACCTGGCCTGGGAGAAAGAGGACAGGGTCTCTGAAGCCAAAGCCCAGACCCTCCTGGGCTGGGCCAGGTGAGTCTGGCCAAGCGAGGCTGGCCAGGGCCAAGGCCACAGGCAAGGAAGAGAGAAGGCAGCTGCCTCAAGCAGTGACACGGTCACCTTGCTCTTGGTGGCACCACCACAGATGCTTTGGGGTGAGGCCAGAGGTGCTGCTGCAGACCTCAGGGACGGGTTGTCAGGCCTGGCAGATGGGGCCTGGAGGCCATGTCCAGAGCTTTAGGCCGTTCACTGCCAGACCAATAACCACTGCTACTCTCCCTGGCCTGGCTGCCCCCTCCCTTCCCACTGGGAGGTGCTGGGAGTGCCAGCGTGGGGCTGGGGTGGGTCTGCGCAGCCCCATGAACTCCCTTCCTGGGCTAGGTACAAGGACAGAAAGGCAGTATCTGGACGCCACAGTCCGCACGCCCTGGTGCTCAAGGAGGTAACGGAGGCCAGCGCGGGCGTCTACACCCTCGCCCTGTGGAACTCCGAGGCCGGCCTGAGGCGCAACATCAGCCTGGAGCTAGTGGTGAACGGTGCGCCAGGGATGGGGGGGCGGGGGGCGTGGCATGAGGGCCAGCTGACCAGCCACTGCTGTGCCCCCAGTGCCCCCCCACATCCACGAGAAGGAGGCCTCCTCCCCCAGCATCTACTCCCGACACAGCCGTCAGGCCCTCACCTGCACAGCCTACGGGGTGCCCCCACCTCTCAGCGTCCAGTGGCACTGGCGGCCCTGGACACCCTGCAAGAAGTTTGCCCAGCGAAGCCTGTGAGTGTGGCTCCAGCCCGTCCTCCTCCGTGTCACAGCCCGGGCCCCAGCCCCAGCCGTGCCGAACCCATTTCCCAGCCCCCGCGCCACCCAGGCCCTGCCCATACCCCTCCCCAGGGCCCAGCCCTGAACTTGAACCCTGTCACTGGTTCAGCTGTAGCCAATCCCGGGCCTCAGCTCCCTGAGCAAGGCTCAGAGCCTCCCTTGCATCAGTCCCCCACCAGCATGCCGGGCTGGGCTTGGGGATCTGCCCCCCACCTCCCTGCAGAGCAAAGCCCCCTGGACACGCAGTGCACCAGCCAGAGAGGCCCAGAGGATGCACCTCAGCACCAAGCAGGCCGACCTGGGACGGTGTTAGGGAACTTGGGCTGAGCCCCGGGGCACACCAGGCGCGCTCACGCACCTCAGCTCACCTAGGCAGTGCTCAAGAAATAGGGTCAGAGAAGGGAGGCAACTTACCCCAAGCTCACAGCTGGAAGCAACAGAGCCCACCCACCTGCTGAGCCCCGCTCCCCTGCACTGAGCTGGATGTCAACGGGACAGCCAGGCTGTGGAGAACACTTAGACCATCAGGGGGCTGGAGAAGAGGGTGCCAAAATGGGCAGGGGTCTTGAAAGCACTACGGAGTCAATGAAGGTCACTGAGCAAGAGAATGATTGCTCAGGTTTGTCTTTCAGCAAGAGATCCCAGTTCGAAAAGCTGGGAGGGATGGAAGCCAGGACCCCAGACAGGAGACAGGGCAGCCCCACTGGCAGAGGGGCTGTGGCTCAGTAGGCCTGGCCAGGGGCCGGCAAAGCGTCCAAGGCTCACAAGGGATTCTTCTAGACCACAGGGCCTACAACTCATGGCTGGCACCTCCAAATCTGCCTTCCTCTGATGCCCCATCATTATGCTCTGTGCCAACTGATGGAGCCCTGGGGGCCCCAGTCTGCTCCTCCACTAGAGGCAGAGCAAACCCCCCTCGGGGTCCTGAGACCCCCATCCGGCAGGAGGCCAAAGGTGCTGGAGATGCGCACTCAGCCCAGAGGGAGGCAGCAGCTCCCAAAGGAGGACAAGAGAGGGAGACGCCCGGCAGAGGGCTTCCTGGGACAGAGTGGGGACTTGCGCTGTCCTGAGTGAGCTGGGTGGGCAGACCCAGGGTGGCCTTTGCAGTTAGGGACACAGAAGCAGGTCAGAGTGGTGCATGTGTGCGTGGGGACGGTGAGCACAGGAAGGCTGCATCTGGCAGCCTGTGCGGGATGGGTTGCCGGCCGTCGGCGTGAAGGGTGGGAGACAGTGCTCCAGAAACAACCCCCGCCCCGCTCGCCCGGGCCCAAGGGCCAGCCTTACCCACCACCACGTTAGAAGATGACTGAGTGTGGCGAAGGCTGGACCCCTTCACCCCTCCGCGTGGGCCCCCTGCCCTTGCCTCTCCTCGCCCCAGCAGCCGGCGGCGGCAGCAGCGAGACCGCATGCCACAGTGCCACGACTGGAGGGAGGTGACCACACAGGACGCTGTGAACCCCATCGAGAGCCTGGACACCTGGACCGAGTTCGTGGAGGGGAAGAATAAGGTACAGGCCAGCCGTGCCGCCGAGGGCCGGGGAGAGGGCCAGAGGAGGTGGGAAGGGGCCCTCCTGCCTCTCCGGGTTCCCACCTGGCCTGCAGAGTTTGGGGACAGCAGCTGCCAGGTCGGTGACCTTTCAGTCTCTGGGACTCAGCTCCCCTGCCTGCATGTGGATAGAGGGCCAGACCTCCAGCCACTTCCCAGACAAGGAAGCTGAGGTCCAACGCTGCCTGGCCGGGCCATGGGCCCCATCCCAGCCACCCACAGGCTGGGAGGGGACAGGGCTGGGGGCTGACCAGGTCTCCACAGAAGGCTGCGGAGCCACTGGACCAGCCTACAGGCAGTGCTGAGAAGGAGGGGACACTGAACAAAGGCACCCACTTCCTACGGTCACTTCCTGTTTTCCTACACACCTCCAGAGCCTCTTCCTGTTCCAGGCCTGGCCAGGAAGTGCCCGGCTAGGGGCGGGGGATGGTCTTTGGATGATAGGCAGGCCTATGGCCCTCCCTCCTCCCCTGTGTCTCAAGCTTTCTATTGCCTGAGACCAGAGCACTTCTGGAAGCCCAGGACCCCCCCCCACCTCTCTCCAGTGCCCTGGACATGGGGAGGGGTGCTGTGGACAGCCCTGGGGCTGATGTGGGCATATTACAAAGGTCTCACACTGTGACACAGGCTGAATTCTAGCCCTGGCTCGGACTGACCCAGGTGTCAGGCTGGCTCCTGACCCCTCCTCACCATGGCCACACACCGAGCCCAATCACAGCCAGAGGTTTATCTGGTCCTGCCAGATGCCACTTTCTGATGTCACCACGCCTACGCCAGCTGTCCATACACTGTCCATTGACTTTTCTGGGGAGCCACCTCTCTCTGTTGCCCGAGGGCCTCTCTTCCCTGCCTCTTCCCTCACCATTCCTGGTATTGTCTCTGAGCTTTGAGCATCTCCAGCCCAAAGCCTCAGCCCCCCCCCCCGTTACTCTGGTGGGCACAGTGACCTCCTTGCAGAAAAGGAGGGTCTGGGTCACGTGAACTAGGGCAGGAAATGGATCCTTGTGTCTGTGCTCTGCCCAGACTGTGAGCAAGCTGGTGATCCAGGATGCCAACGTGTCTGCCATGTACAAGTGTGTGGTCTTCAACAAGGTGGGCCAGGACGAGCGGCTCATCTACTTCTATGTGACCAGTGAGTGGCCAGACCAACCCCCAGGGAGGGCCCCTTCCCTGGGCAGGTTTGGGTGCAGGGTGCGGAAGCAGGTTGGGGCTCATTGAGTTTCTGATGTCCAAGGGGCACCCAATGGAGACATCCAGGGCTTACTGGACCCCTGGGTCTGTGGCGGGGGACAGATCTGGGGTCCGTCGGCATACGGACTGGGGGCTGGTGCCCTGGGATGGAATGGCACCCTCTGCCCCCAGCCCTGGAGGCACTTCCCCCAAGGATGGCCCCCTGCTCCCCGCAGCTCCTCCCAACTCTACCCCCTCCCACACCCCTATCCAAGCCCTGGAGCCCTGCGGCTGGCGTGTGCATGGCCCTGGGGAGAAGGTCCATAACTGACTCAGATTTTCAAGTGTGCTAGTGACCCGAGGAGAGCTCAGATGCCCAGGAGTGGACAGTCCCTGGGATGTGGACGAGGGTACTTCCAGGGAGATGGAGGCAGAGAAAACACCTGGGAGATAGGGCAAGGGGGAAGCGCACAAGATCCTGACAAGAAGTGGCAGAAAGACAACAGGAAATTGGGACTGTGGCCCTGGCAAAAGCTAATGAAAAAATGGTCTCAAGAAGAGGAAGTGGTGGGGTGTGGTGGCAAGAAAGCATGAGGACTCAGGTCCCCACTGAGTCTGGCCAGCAGGAATCCTGATGATCTGGACTCCTGGGAGAGGCGGGGGCTGCAGCCGGTTGGGCTCCTCCAGGAGAGAGAGGGAGGGGAGACAGGAGGAGACCCCGTGGGGCTGGTCACGGGCACAGTGGCAGGTGGGGCAAACACGGGCGGCAGTCACAGAGGTTCCTCCTCCCTCCCCAGCTATCCCTGATGGCTTCAGCATCGAATCGGAGCCCTCTGAGGAGCCTCTGGAGGGCCAGGCCGTGCGCCTGAGCTGCCGAGCAGACAACTACACGTACGAGCATCTGCGTTGGTACCGCCTCAATCTTTCCACGCTGCACGATGCTCAAGGGAACCCGCTGCTGCTCGACTGCAAGAACGTACACCTGTTCGCCACCCCGCTGGCCGCCAGCCTGGAGGAGCCGGGGCCTGGGGCGCGCCACGCCACGCTCAGCCTGAACATCCCCCACGTGGCACCCGAGCACGAGGGCGACTACGTGTGCGAGGTGCAGGACCGGCGCAGCCACGACAAGCACTGCCACAAGAAGTACCTGTCAGTGCAGGGTGAGGCGGGAGGGGCCAAGCTTCGCATCTAGCCATCGCTGTTTCTGGCTTTGCCCCCAGCCCTGCACGCCACTGGGCGTTCGTTCACAACCGGGGCCTGCAGGAGCGTCCCCTTCCCCGACCCCACCGTGGAGGTGCGCAGTCTTCTGGCCGGCGCGCAAACTCTGACCTTCCTTCCACCCTCTGTTCCCGGCCAGCAGGGCCCGGTCCAGGGGTGCCCTGCTTAGTGCAGCTCCACTTAGCTCCCTCCCGAACCCTGCCCCTAGCCCTGGAAGCCCCTCGGCTCGCGCAGAACTTGACCGACCTCCTGGTGAACGTGAGCGACTCCCTGGAGATGCGGTGCCTGGTGGCCGGAGCGCACGTGCCCAGCATCGTGTGGTACAAAGACGAGAGGCTCCTGGAGGAAGAGTCTGGTAGTGAGGGTGGCCAGGCGGGGGGCGGGGTCCAGAGCCCGCAAGGCCAATCCTCCCTCCTCCTCTCCCTCCCGAACTCGTATCTCCACCCGCCCCCTGCAGGAATCGACCTGGCGGACTCGAACCAGAAGCTGAGCATCCAGCGCGTGCGCGAGGAGGACGCGGGACGCTATCTGTGCCGCGTGTGCAACGCCAAGGGCTGCGTCAACTCCTCCGCCAGCGTGGCCGTGGAAGGTGCGGCGTGCGCCCGGGCCCCCGACCTCTGCCCTCGCCCCACTCCGCGCCTGCCCGCCGGCCCCGTGGCCCGAAGGGCGTTCCCGCAGCGCGCGCTTCCCTCGCGCACTCGCCGGCTCTTTCTGTGCGCTCAGGCTCGGAGGACAGAGGCAGCATGGAGATCGTGATCCTCGTGGGCACCGGGGTCATCGCCGTGTTCTTCTGGTTCCTGCTCCTCCTCATCTTCTGTAACTTGAGGAGGGTGAGCGTCCCTCCCCTGCCGGGCCTCTCCGGGCTCCTGCCTGGGGCCGTCGCGCCAGTCCTTGAGAAAGAATGGGGCCCCCATCCTGCTTCGCCCCGCAGCCAGGCTCCTGGGAAGTAGCCGCGGTTGTCGGTCCGTCCCCTCCTTGACTGGCACCCCCGAAGGAAGGGCCATCTGTCGCGGGCAGAGTTTCCCCCGAGCCACCGCGGTGTGGCCACATCCACCAGCTGTCCCCACCCCCACCCCCAGCCGGCCCACGCAGACATCAAGACGGGCTACCTGTCCATCATCATGGACCCCGGGGAGGTGCCTCTGGAAGCGCAGTGTGAATACCTGTCCTACGACGACAGCCAGTGGGAGTTCCCCCGGGAGCGGCTGCACCTCGGTGAGGCGGCGCCCTGCCCGGCAGAGGCGGCTGCAGCTGCCGCAGGGTCTGGCCGGCTGGGGCGCCCGAAGTCCCTTCGTTCCCAGAACTCGTGCCAGGAGGGCCCGCCTGGCCCCCGCCTGGCCCGACCTGCCCACCTGGGCATGGGTCCCCAGAGCCGCGCCGGGGCTCGCAGTTCCCAGGCCCCACGAGGTCACGTCCTGCTGCTCCGAGCAGGGTGGGCCTGTCGCACCTGCGGGGAGGATGCGAGTCCTTCCTGCCCGCCTCCCCTCTGCCCTCTTCCCGCTCCTGGTCCCCGCGCTCTTCCTGTTTGGCAGAGAGGCTGCCCACCCTCCTGGGCCTGCCTTCCTGGCCCTCCGCAGGTCAGCCCTGCTGCCCACCTGTCCCCGCCCCCGCCCCCGTGCGCGCCACCTGCAGCTGGCTCCCTGCCCCACAGGGAGGGTGCTCGGCCACGGCGCCTTCGGGAAGGTGGTAGAAGCCTCGGCTTTCGGCATCCACAAGGGCAGCGGCTGTGACACCGTGGCCGTGAAAATGCTGAAAGGTGCGGGGTCAGCGGGTGCAAGGGGCGGACGAGCTGCGGAGGAACAGCAGCTCTGGGTGGAGCAGGGGACTGTGGTGCAGGAAGGGAAACTGAGGCTCAGAGGCAGCCTCGCCCAGGGTTCTCCAGGGAGGCGCAGGGAGTCAGAGCCGGGCTCCCACTGGAACCCCCTGCCTCAGTGGGGCCAAAAGACGTCGTGAAGACGCTGCGCGCCCCTCCCCCGCAGCCGCCCCGAGATCGCCGAGTGCGCCCGGCTAAGCCGGCGGCGGGAAGGCGGGGCGGGCGGGGTTGCGGCAGAGGCCAGGGCGGCCGCGCCCCTGCCAGGCCCTGTGTCCCTTCCAGAGGGAGCCACAGCCAGCGAGCACCGCGCCCTGATGTCGGAACTCAAGATCCTGATTCACATCGGTAACCACCTCAACGTGGTCAACCTCCTGGGGGCGTGCACCAAGCCCAACGGTACTGGGGCGCGGAGGGCGCCGGGGCGCTCGGGCGGGAGGGGGCTGCCGGGCGCGGGGCGGGCGTCCGGGCGGGGCTGGCGCTCCAGCGAGCGGGCTCCGCCGCTCCCGCCAGGCCCCCTCATGGTGATCGTGGAGTTCTGCAAGTACGGCAACCTCTCCAACTTCCTGCGCGCCAAGCGCGAGGCCTTCGACCCCCGCGCGGTACGTGCGCGCCGTCGGGGCCCAGAGCGCGGCGGGCGGGCGTGGGCGCGCGGGCTCTGCCGAGGTGACGTGGCCGCGGCTCTGCTCTGTGCGCCCGCAGGAGAAGTCCCCGGAGCAGCGGAGGCGCTTCCGCGCCATGGTGGAGGGCGCCAGGGCGGATCGGAGGCCGGGGAGCGGCGACAGGGCCCTCCTCGCGCGGTTCCTGACGGGCAAGGGCGGCGCGCGGCGGGCCGCTCCCGCGCAGGAAGGTCAGCGCCGGGCTTCCCTGGCTGAGTCTGGCAGGCGGGTAAACTCGGGGTGCGGCACCCTGGGGCAACCCAGCCTCGGTGGGGGCTCCCATGGGAGAGAATGTGAAGGACTGTGCCCTGGGAGGGGGCGACCCGCAGGGACAGTTTCCACAGAGAGTGGACGTGTGACTTGGGCATCACAGGATGAGTAGGAGTTTGCCTTGCCAACAGTGGGGACCGGCCCGCAGCCGAGTGGCGGGTGCGAAGGCCGGTTAAGAGAACCCCTTGGACAGCCCGCGGTTTAGCAGTTAGTCGAGTGTGCGGTTGGCACGGAACCAGGGAGTTTGGAGAGACCCCGCGTGGCGACGGGATTCGAGGACAGAGACAGGAAAGCGAGGCACAGAAACAGCTGGCTCGGTTTGGACACGGTTTGAATAGTTAGCCGCCTTCGGCCAAAGTTCGGTGATTGATCGGGAGGGGGTCACAGTCCCGGCTCCTCGGCCTGGGCCCAGGGGCCCAGGGTTAGGGTTAGGGTTAGGGGTTAGGGGTTGGGGTTAGGGTTAGGGATTAGGGTTATGGTTAGGGGTTAGGGGTTGGGGTTAGGATTAGGGGTTAGGGTTAGGGCTAGGGGTTGGGGTTAGGGTTAGGGGTTGGGGTTAGGGTTAGGGCAGGGAGCTGCGACGACGCCCCTGCGCTCGGCCTGGGCGCGGGAGACCCTCAAAGAAAAGACAAGACAGTTCGTCATGGTCCGCTTACGTTTTCAGCTGGGTTACAGTTTATGTGGGGAGAAACGTTTACACTGAATTTAAAATATGTACGGAGGTAGTTTTAGCTTAAAAATTAATTTAATAAATTTTTAAAGTCAGTTTCTTAATTTTGAGAGATTGACCAAAATTTTTGACATATGATGTTATTTTGTGACTATAATGTATTTGGTCTTAAATCTCACTGGGAAATAGTAGAACGGGGGGCGGGTTGTAAGGTGGGAATCAGGACTTTAGATTATTTTTCTGGAAGAGATACAGGAGAATTTTGTGTTTTCAGGAGAAAAATAAAATCTGGACTCCTGTAGGATTTTTTTTAAAGTTTTAGTTTGATTATGTGGAATTTAGTATGACTGACTCTGGACTGACCTGTTGGGACATAGTGTATGAGTTTAGTCTAAAATAATGGCCTCATAATTTTGTTTAAAATTTTTTTACTTAGAGTGTGACCAAAACTTAGGGCTTTGGAGACCTTTTTTAGTTACTATTATTTTGGGTCTTTGGTCTCAGTATGTTATTTATAGGTTATGGTGTCCTCATAGGGTTTTTTTTTTTTTTTTGAGTTTTTGTTGTTTTAGTCAGAGAAACCATTTGACCTTTTATGGTTTTAATTACTTAAAACTTTTGAGAGAATATAGCATATCAGGAAGACTATTATTATGACTGTTAAGAGGATAATATTAAGAGTTTGGAGTATTTTGTTAAATTAATTAAAATTAAATAGATGAAAGAATGAGTCATAAACAATTTGTTTTCATCAAGTGGTCTGTTTATTAATTTTTTATAATTGAATGTTTATTAATATTTAATGTGTTTATTTATGTGCAATAAGTAATGTCAGTAACTGTACTTTTTTTTTACCCAGTCAGTAAATATTTAGAGTAATTTTATTATTTAGTGTGACTTCAGTAACAGAATTTAAAGAAGTCTGTTGTGTAACTGTAGCCTTTGTAGTAGAATCTGGTATAATCTATTATGAGGGATAAATTTTTAATTATTGTCACATTTATTTTTAAACGATGTAAAACAGTAACTTAATGATGTCCATTTAGAAGGGTGAAGGCCTTTTGATAATTTTTTTAATCTATAATGTAGGTTACAAATCACCTCAGACAACTTAATGAACTGATGTTTTGTTTTTGACTGATTAAGGAGTAATAAAGGTATTATTAACAATTTTCATCTATATTGGCCTATTTTTTATTTATTAAGGTATAGGTCGTCTAGGCATAAGGTTGGCTATGAAATTTTTTTACAAACAAAGGTATATCCCATAGGTGTATATAAAAGACCCCTTTTTCAGTTTTATTGTTTAGAGTCACTAAGTAAGGAAAAACTTGAGAGGTAAGAGTCTCATGAGGGTAGGGAAGTCTTGATTCGCGATCTTGGGAAAGTTGTCTGTATCTAGAATGTCATCTGATTTGGGGGAGAAACTTTTTTGGTTGGTTTTATCTTAAGATCATTAGTGGGTGTATAATTTTAAGAATCTGAAGGGGCCCTTTGAGTTGTGAGATTACAAACTTGAGGTTTAAGGTCCCAAAGTTTTGTTGCAGTGCGGGTGGCAAGAGCAGTCTTTTCTTGATGTCATTGTTAGAAGACCCAATCTTCAGGTTTTATATTGTGGAGGGTCCGATTGTCTTTAGTCAGTGGACCATGAAAAGCTTTTTTATCTGATGAAAATATATGTTGACATAATGTATTAAAGTCTTACAGCATTTAGTCATATTAGAGTTTAGCAGTGGAAGGTATGTGAGGTTTTATTACTAGGAGCATAGGCCTTTGAGTGATTTTTTAGTGACATCGTGACTATTTTATAAGGGGTTAACTTATGTTTTTTACTGGAAATAGATTTGATTGTCATTAATTTATAATATCTTTGTCCAATGTGATTGGTCAGTAGATTTAGTTTTGTCTAATGTTATTGTGCATGTGATATCTGTTTTATAACCTGTCTAGTGAAATATTTATTATTAGAGTTTTTAAAATATCCGATGAGAGAAACATTTTTAAATAACCTTTTAATTGTTGGTATAGTATTAGTCCTCTTATATGAAAAAGCTTTTATATAATCATATATTTCAAATGACAGGCTGGGCGCTGTGGGTCACACCTGTAATCCTAGCACTCTGCGAGGCTGAGGCGGGAGGACGCTTGAGGTCAGGAGTTTGAGGTTGCTTTGAGCTGGGCTGACGCCACGGCACCCTAGCCCAAGCAACAAAGTAAGACTCTGTCTCAAAAAAAAAAAAAAAAGAATTTAAATAATTAACTGAAATGACTTAAAATAGTCATAGTTAAAGACACAATTGACAAGAAAATTTAGTTATTTTTGTGGCCTATCATAATTTAACAATCATAATTATGACAATATTATATATTAAGACATCAGAATTGTAGAAATCTCATATAATTTTGGAACATATATTAATAACATAAAAGTATAAAATTTGAAGAAAGCTAAACATTATTTTTTATTTGACAATATTTTTATATAATTTAACATATTAAATAAGCCTGTTTGTTATCTCTCTTTTGGATATTGTAGGGGCCTCTGTAGCGTCTCAAAGTTAGTGTGAGGTCAGAAAAAAGACTTAATTTTCAATTCAAAATTTGATTTTAGGGCTGGTCTGATGGTAGTGGGTTATCAGAACTTATTAACATTAGTGTCACTAAAGTTGGTATTCAACCTCCCACCGCTAAATTTGACTGGCTTTTAAAAAATAAAAAAAAATTTTTTAAAAATTGGAGTTTAGGAAGACTGTCATGTATATCAAAGGTTTAAAACACTTAACCAAAATAGGATTATAGGTAATTGTAAAATAATACTTTATTTAGCCAAAATGATAATTAAAAGGTTTTGACCAAAATTTTTGACATATGATGTTATTTTGTGACTATTGTGAATGTATTTGGTCTTAAATCTCACTGGGAAATAGTAGAACGGGGGGCGGGTTGTAAGGTGGGAATCAGGACTTTAGATTATTTTTCTGGAAGAGATACAGGAGAATTTTGTGTTTTCAGGAGAAAAATAAAATCTGGACTCCTGTAGGATTTTTTTTAAAGTTTTAGTTTGATTATGTGGAATTTAGTATGACTGACTCTGGACTGACCTGTTGGGACATAGTGTATGAGTTTAGTCTAAAATAATGGCCTCATAATTTTGTTTAAAATTTTTTTACTTAGAGTGTGACCAAAACTTAGGGCTTTGGAGACCTTTTTTAGTTACTATTATTTTGGGTCTTTGGTCTCAGTATGTTATTTATAGGTTATGGTGTCCTCATAGGGTTTTTTTTTTTTTTTTGAGTTTTTGTTGTTTTAGTCAGAGAAACCATTTGACCTTTTATGGTTTTAATTACTTAAAACTTTTGAGAGAATATAGCATATCAGGAAGACTATTATTATGACTGTTAAGAGGATAATATTAAGAGTTTGGAGTATTTTGTTAAA